GCTGAACTTGGCATCACCCAGGAGTTACAGCTGTCTTGCGATTTTTGAAGCACGCGAGGTCCAGATAGTCCATTGAATGCATGCATTCCCTGTGAAGTACATGTGCCTGTGTTCGTTCTGTGTTCCTCATCCTTTGTGTAGCTGGAAAAATAATGGTTTTTCACCTTTTTTTTCTTCTTCTTTCTTTCAGCTGATGTATTTTCTCCTGAGTGCCCTGGGTCTGGTTGCCTGTGTTTTGGCAGTGGCTTTTGCCTCACACCATTACTTGCAGATGACACAGTTTACCTGCGATACCTTCCTCGAGTCCTGCCAGTGCAAACTGGACACTGCAGACCCCCTCGGCAGGACCTTCATCTACCAGGACGCAGCTGACTGCGGCAGCCTCACCAGCATGCTCAACCTGTACTTACTTCTGCAGATGGTTCTCAATCTGGTGGCAGCCCTGGTGTGCCTGGCGGCATGCTTCGTGATGTGGAAACACAGATACCAGGTCTTTTATGTGGGCGTTCGGTTCTACCCTTTAACCACTACTGAAGGCCAGCAACAGAAAGTGTAGGGTCGGAGCTGGCGGGGATGCGTAGCCAGGGAATGGAAAACGTCAGCATACTGTGCCACCATAGACACCATGGATGGATGAGTGTTTATAAGGTTTTTGACAAGGAAAAACATTCATGCAGTTTTAATGAATATATTTTTCAGTCATTTTAAGAGCATTTCATCTGGCTGCTCTTGCAAAAGATCCCTGGTGAGACTACCTAGAGGTCACAAAGTCCTAAAGATGCAGCTGTACAAATACTCACCAAAGAGGATCTTTAATAGTCATAGACAAAATGAGAGCTTAAAAAATCATTGGGAACTCATCTGCAGGGCTACAAGCAGCTAAGAAATAGGGTCCATTTCCCTGGCTGGTAGATGTCTGTTCTTGCCTTCAGAGAAGCTATACCGATTTCTACCAGGAAAGGATCTGGTCCAAACTGCTTAATTATAATTATGCTGATCACGCTTAGGGAATATATTTTCTCTCAGATGCTCTGGGTATAATCCACGCTAACCTGATGGGGTTTTACTGTATGGAAAAGTAATAAGGGGGGTCAAAAGACCTGCAAATGCAGGCTGAGACCCAACAGCAAAGTGAATATATTGAGGACTGCCATATAAAATCTACATAAGACTTTTCAGAGTGACTAATGATATAGGTTACCTAATCCGATTGCTAATAAACAACAACATGAGCGGGTTGTCTAGAAGTGATTCGGTGGGCCCTGCCTGAGACCCCAGCCAGATTTCTGAAGCATGAGCGCTCGGCACTTTGTGAGAAAAGATCAATTTAAGAAACCTGGAGCTGCGTTCCTAAAGTCGAGGACCCTAAATCACTAGTCACATTGAAAACTGTGTTGACATTGCTGTAATTGCAGGCTCCCAAACCCGGCGTCTGGCCAGTTCCACCAATTATACTCCAAGCACAAAAGGCCAAACGCGGGTTTGGTGTAACTCCTCTGAAGACAATCAGCCGTACACACCAGCAGTGGAGTTGGGCCAACAGCCCTGAAAGATATATCCCTGCAACAATGAAATGTTTTTAAAATGGGGTGGAGGGAGGGAAGCAAGAAGAGACTGCCAGTCTCCCAAAGACATCGTTTATAATAATGAGGGCAAGAGAGTAATGATTTCTTAATAAGCAGCATAGAATAACAAACCACGTTCAAACAGTGCTTTTTCACCCTGAAAGCGTGGCTCTACAACTGCTTTATGTCTTATTAGCCTTATATCGAGCCTTATACCAAGACAAGTATGTCATTTTGGCCCTCGAACTGTCATTTCCACTTGCACAGCATGGACTTCTAAATGGAGGAGCAATTCTGAACCGCCTGCTGATAGCTGCGCAAGGGCAAGGCAGCTGGTGCTCACGCCCTGCTTTGACTAAGGATTTCCCGATCCCCGCCAGAGCAAGGGCGTTTCTGAGGTGGGGTGGAGCAATCACATGCCAGAAACACTGTGCCACAACCATTAGCAAAGAGGAAGCAAATAAAATTTCTGTAAGGCTTCGAAGAAGCAAAAAAACCTTTCTTTTTCTGCAGCAAAAATAGCCACCAGGGAGTCAAAAAGCCAGGCTGGCAAATGCTAGCTGTCTAAATAGCTCTGATCCTACCCAAAAACTGTCTTCCATATGGTGAATGCACATCAGCCCAGGGCTAGACCTCCACAGTCAGAAGATCACAACATAGTTAAGTCTGCTGTGGTCCACCTAGAGCACTGCTCGGTGTGTATCTGCTCGAGTTTCTGCCATGGGAAGTGCTTCTAGAGTAGATGTAGCATCACTGAGATGCTCTCTGCCTAGCTGCAAAGTCAGGAGCTGCAGAAAAAGAAAGCTTTTGATACCAGCTTCCAAATGGCCTTTTTTTATGCACCTAAAAATAACACTCACTGGTAAGCGTGGCTGCAGGGCACATTTGCAAAGGTGCCCGTTCGCCTGCCCGCGTGTCACCACCCCACCCCAAGTCCTAAGCCTGGCTCCCAGGCATGCTCGGAGCAAGCTGAGGCAGCAGCGGGTTATGCAGGCAGGCTGGCCATGTAAGGCCTGTACTCCGGCAGTGACGGGGCCGTTGGTGCGGTGGCGGGAACCATCCGGTCTCCCCCGACCCTGGTGGAGCATGCTGCAAGCCATGCTCGTGGGCCTGTGCCTGGGCCAGCCTCCCGTACGAGATGGATGTGTAGGGGTGCTCGTACTCAGGTGTTGGCTTGTACCCCATGCCTCGCACGGTCCTGGCTGCGCTCTCCGTGGAAGCATAGGGCAGAGGACATACCTGCCTCCCACCCCACCTACACAACCCTTGCTGTGCCCTCTCCTCCCTCCAGCCAAAAATGCAGGCTCTCCTCTCTGCAAAGAAGGTAACAAGAAGTGGGAAAGGGACTGAGGGGAGGCTGAATGACATCTGAGTTTTGGGGCTTCCTCCTGCCCTTGCCACCAGCCCCTGCACCCCAGCAGCTGGCGAAGCAAGAGGAAGGCTCTGCTGGCAGAGCAGGGCGTGCTTCTCACCCTGCCGTTTCCCAAACGTCCCTGTTGTTCAGAAGGTGGCTTGGTCTGCAGCGCTGTAGCTTTGGCCGGGCTGCGTGCAGGCTGTGGCAGCCAGCTGTTGTGGGAGATGGCTGGCCAGCCGGCCCCAGCTGAGCGGCATTTCTACCAGAGCCGGGCTTTTGTCTCCTTAATCCTTTGACCTCCCTCTCACCCACATGTTTTCACTCCCTGTCTCCCATCACCTCCCCGGCGCTGGGCTCCTGGAGGCCAGCCCCATACGGGGCTGGGCTCACATTTCCCGGCATCTGCCTACTCACACGTGGGCTTAAACCTGCTGGGACTCCTCTAGAGCATGAAGGACGTGGCGGTGATGACCACAGAGTCGCTGCAAATGCCCTCAGCGTGGCGACTGGGAGGAGAAGGGAGAACTGGATACGAGAGCCTGCCCTGCTTAGGAAGCTGTGCACCTCCGTACCGGCACAGCCTCCGCTTCGAGCCACCGCTGCCGAGTTTGGTTCAGCACGTTGCAGCTTAACCCTTTGCTCTGGAAGAAAGCAATATTCATCATATATTCTGCTGGTGTTTTAATGCTTAATGAATAAATACGGGACATTTTGATCTAGCAAAGACTAACTTCTGTATTTCCTTTTTCTATATCTCAAGAGCATAAAATCAAAACAGGAGAGATGGGAAAATGGACACGGTAGCGTTTAGAACTGCTTTCCCCCTGGGTATGGTTTTACAACATGTATTTTGCTCGGATCAAGAATTTTGGAAAGTACTAATTAGAGGATTTTCACCTACCGCAGCATATTCAGACAGCTCCCGGCCTTTTCCCGGTGTCAGAGTCCACATGGATTGCACCAGGAGAAAGTCTGGGACTAAAAGGCTTGGAAGGGACAGAGGTGTTGAAGAAAAAAACCATTTATTTTAGTCCTGGAAATTTATTCTCTGGGTGAATTCCACAAAAAAAGGGTAGGATTAAACCGCTATGGACACATAGAATTTGCAAAGGGCTCGGTGTAATTTACTCTCACAAACCCAGGTGAGATTCTCATTCGCACCCTAGCCACTTTACACTGTTTTCCCAGGGTAAAGGGGTTGTAAAGACAGCATCAATCATTTTTACACCTACTTTATGGCCATTTTACACAGCTAAAAGGGCCCTTTGTGTAAATGAGAACTCAAGCCCTAGAGAATTTAATAGAGAGGAGATCCTTTCTATAGACTGTGCTAGACCCCTCTAATAGAGCCTATTCCTGGGATATAACTCTCCACTAGATTTTATAGCTTGGCTTAAAGATCATCAGTCTCGATTAAATTCAGTTCTGCAAAACTTTTTTCCAAAGGACACAACCCTGCCTCCCCCCCCCCCCGCCCCGGGTGACATGCCTGCTCCTCCGCCCCGAGCACACGCAGGCAGGGGTGGTGTTGCGGGGATAAAACTGCTTGTTTTTCAAAAGGAGAAGCAGCAGCTAACACTTTCCTCTGGCTCTGAGGCATTTTGATGTTGTGCTATGCAAATACTGGAGCGACAATAACGGCAACGAAAAGGGAACCGAGACGCGACGCCTTAGACGGAGCCGAAATGTCACATTCTCAACCCGGCCAGGCACCAAGGTGGCACGTGGTCCTGACGGGGGACTGTGCTTTGCACCCCTTCCCTCCCCAGGCAGGGGCCAGTAGGCGAAGGGGAAACACCGCCAGGTCCCAGCCCCAAGCTGGGGCCACCACCAGCCCACTGCCCCCACCACCGCCTTCACGTGACGGCCATCTGCGCCTCACCGGCCCGCCCGGCTCTGCGTGGGCACCGCTTGGAGCTTTGCCTAAAAAACAGCTCTGCGCAAGAGCGCTGGAAACTGTAATCAACTCCTCGCAGGACTATTTTTTTTCTTTTTCTTTTTTTTTTTTTTTCACACTACCAGCCAGTGCAATATTTGCTTTGGGGGCCTTTCGAAAGAGAAAGCACGCTGCTAGCGTGTGAGAGAAGGCGCAGTTCAGGTCCTCTATATTTAGAAAGCCAGGATGTCATACCTCCCCTTGAAATTTTCATAGTCCCCTGCACCCCACCCACCCACACACATACACATGCTTGCGTCTGGAAAATGTTTTTCGGTCTTAGCGAAGGGTGTTGGCTTAGGGGGATTCAAGGGAGGTGCAGAGGAACAACTGCAGCTCCGTCCTGAGCGCGAAGCTCAAAGCCTCCTTAAGGCACCGAGCAGCAGGGCGGGCAGCGGGGACCCACCGCTCCCGGCCGGGCTCAGGAGGCTGGAGTCGAGGATCTCTCCCGTTGTCGGCCTGTAACATAAATCCCAAGGCAGGGACAAGTTTTTCTGAGACGTATGGAAGCCCTCTGCCGTGTCACGTCAGGCAATGCTGTACCCTCAGCCGACAACGTCTTCCTGAGCTCGTTTTTAGGTGGCCACGCACGGATCTCTAGCAAGGGCTCCAAGAAGATGCATTTTGGTGCTAGCTCGTCTCAGGTCTCTGCAGTTCCCCCCCACCCCAGGGGTTTTTGCTTTCTGCTCTGCTGCTGCCTC